GGCTCCCGGGGGGAGGGGGGCAGCCGCACGCAGCACCGCGCGAGTGGAAAGAATGGGGGGAAGGGGGCGTAATTTAAGGAAAAGGTGCTGTTGCCTCGGGAACCGAGGGGAAAACGGTATTGCAGTGAGAAGGAGGATGTTACCACATTAATATCCCGCTCTGAAGCACCGCCTCCAGTTTTGGTCACCTTGTCTGTAAATGGGAGGCGGCACTTAGAGGAAAGTGAGTGGGGAATTACGGATGTATTTAAAGGTGCCCGTAAATGCCGAGATTTGCAACGTTTTGCTGAGAGAGGGGGCACGCGGTGCCGGGAACGGCGAGGAGCGGCGGGTGCGTTGGCGGGGCCGCCGGCCGTGGCCGCGGCGCGCGGGAGGAGCAGGCCGCGCCTGGCAGCCAGGGCTGAGGGGAGCAGAGGCACGGCGGAACCCGCTCTCCTCCTGGCCCGGACACCCGGGAAGAAGCAGCAGGTGAGCCTCGAGGACGCCTCCACACGAGCGGCTGGGGCCCTTTGGCATCCTCCCCGGTTCTTCCAAGGGAACATTACAGGACCAGATGCTCCCGCGAGCCCCAGGGCCGGGCTGCTTCATCTGCAGGATACCCCCCTGTGCACGAAACACCGCAGAGCAAACAGCGCGCAGCACCCGACGGCTAGGAACGCCGTCTCCTCCACACAGCCCAGCCTTGCCTAGGGAAGAGCTGCGGCAGTTGGGAAGTATAAGTTTATTTCTGCCACGTCATCGATCTCGGTCATCGCTAAGACTTAGAAATAACTAGAGCAGTCGAAACCCGAATAACATCCTAACCAAACAACGTCAGTAGAAAAGTCCAATAAACTGCCAACACAGTAGAGTGGAGTTAAAGGCCTGAAAGAGACGAGACTACCCTTTACATAGGTGGTTCCTGAGGTGTCTCAAAGCGTGCCGAAAGGCGACACAACATAGCCCCTGAGACTTGCATGCCTACCTCTAGTTCTTATGTTAATTGATGCTTGGAAATGTCCCTTTCTCACTTTCATAAATTAAAGTTACCAAAGAAAAAAATACTCTGATATGCCTATTTGCTGCAGGAATGCTGTATACATCCTCATTCTAGTTTTAATAGGCTATTTTGATTAGCAATGATTTTAGTGCTGCTACATGTGCAGGAGTTTGCCCCCATGCTGTTGACATACTGGAGCTGATCCAAGATGATCCAACTAGACAGTGCACTAATGAGAGTATAATGCACATCCCTTCTGAATTAAGGCCTCGCCTTGATTTCTATCTCCAAGTGTTTGTTGTATAAACTCTGTTGATTGAGCCCGGTCACTCTTGCTTTATAAACCTTCAGCTGAGTTCACTGTCAGTTTTTCTCAAGAAAACAATCCATCTTTTGCTATCTGATTTCAAACATGTGCTTCTCATTAAAAGAAGTGACCCTTCATCAGTGAGAATACTTTATCTGCACATCACCACTTTGGTATTTTTTTTGAGACTTGGAGGTAATACACAGTCATCACTGATCAATGTTCATTCTTATGCTTTGGAAAAGAGGTATCCTAATGCTTTCCTAGAGATGCTGGGTGTTTTATGAACAAAATGCTGGTGCTCACCTGCTGTTAGCTCACTTACCATCAGCATCCACCTTCTATTGTTACTTAACTGAAAAATCTTTGTGATATGATTCTTTAAAGTAACCAGTTGCAGCAAAGGGGAGGAAAAGCTGAATTATAAAACAAACTTCTCATTAAAATGTTGTCTGTACTACAAAAATACTTAAGTAGCCTCTTTAATATAATCATATAAAATAATTATGAAGATACAGTTAATAGACCATCCAGAAAGTCCTATTTATTGATCAGATACTGCTAAGAGCACAGTATGTCCTCAGAAGATACTGGTTAACTCCTATAGAAAAGCCATTGACTGGGAGAACGTGCTCTGTTTTACCCTTTTAGGTAAAACAGGAGGATCCTTCAGTTTCTGCATGCTTTCCTCTGCTAGCAATGGCATATGGACAGGAGTTGTAAAGACGCTGTCTCTAAGTGTTATGGTCAGAGATGCTGAAACAGGGTGCTGCTACACAATTCTGTCTCTAAACTCATTTCATTAGCTTCTTTCTAGAGCTCCCACACCAGCGTTACCTGGGGACTGAGTTCAGAATCATGTGTTCGCTTACCTTTCCTGTTGCTTTTGGAGAGTGATCAGATTTCAGCTGATTAAACGAAATGGGGAAAGCTCTGGGGAAAGAAAGGGGAAAACGTTGAGACCCTGCAATACATAGGCACAGCGTACCGCAAAGGATGCTCTGGATCTTCACTGACTGAAGATCAGAGTATTTGCCAATTATATTCCTGTTGTGTGTAAAACTGAACTAAAAGGGGTGTCACTTCAAACACACACTGTTTGAGGATCCATACTCAGTATGGTGTCTGATGTTTGAAAGAGTTGCAAGTTAAATCACACTAGCATAGTGTGATTTTGAAAGAGCACACCTTCCTCCTAGCCCAGTATCTGAATCTGCCCCACCTTCCTGTTTCTGTATTTCTGCCTCCCACCTCCTGCTCCTGTCCTGGCACCTAACCAGCAGGCATGCGGGCTCAGCAGGGTGGGTGGCACAAACATCAGGGCTGCCGGTGACACAGGAATGAGGCACTCATTTCCGTACAGCTCCCCATGCCTGCCTGATGCATGATGAAATGAAGGGGAAGCAGCCCAACCCTGGCCTCGTATTCCTGATGAGTGTCCTCTTTCCAAGGCATGAGCGGTGCCTAAGTGGTGCGTAATTTACCTTATGGGCAAATTTCATTCTCTGCTATCACAATCCGCTGGCGCGCCTCTAACTTTAGATAGGAAGAGCAATGCTGCGAGTATTTGGTACTGATGGCAAACCGCCTGGCAGAGCTTAACCAGGTGGTTGTTACCGATGCATTCCACCATCAGGAATTCCTGTTATTGTTGTCGTCATCACCGTTTGCTAATTTAATTAAAATACCCGCTCCAGAACCTGAAATGAGATTAAGTTCCTATTACACTCAATGCTGTACAAAATTATGATGGGTGATGGTTTCCAGCCTGAACAAGCTTATGGGTTAATTACATTGCAGAATGGCCAGTAGAACCTATTTGTTTTAAAAAACCTGTATTGGCCATTTGCATGTTATTTAGGCTGGTGCTTGCTCTTCAGCAGCAGTGATTAACATGGTAGCATATGTTTTAAATAAACAGAAAAAGATTCTCTTCCCAATATTGATCATGTTTCCTTAAAAACAAGCAAAAAGTTTACTAGCAACTTATTTGCAAATCTTTCTTTGCCTTTCTCTTTAATTTTCAAAGACCATATTATACTTTCATCGGCAGTAGTGAAATGACCTGACATTATTATTTCAAAGCCCAGACTTCTGTTAAGTAGTACCTGCAAATACATAATCTTTCTAACTTCAGCCAGACCATTTTGAAATGATAGAGTTATAAAGGGTACAAACTTAAATGGCAATGTTTTGTTCAGATAATGAAATACAAATCTACAGAAGGAAAGATACAAAAAATAAGAAAATCTATGGACTTTGTGGTCAGCAACTAGGTCTAATAGAATCCAATAGATTTTCATTCGTAAAATGAGGTCATTGTTGAGCAATCAGTCTTCAGTTTCAATCTTCATTTTACAGCTCCTCCTCCTTCTCATTTTACAATTCATAATTACCTTCATTGCTTTTTGAAACCGTGGAGAAGAAAAAAAAACAAACCACGCAAGGGAATCCTGACAGAATTTGGCTAGGTAAACCAAACAGACATCAAAGGCAAGGGGGTAGAGGGGGAGTTTTAAGACAAGGAAAACATCATTAAATGATAGGTGCAAAATGCAGTGTCAGAAAATCGGGAAGGCAATCCTGGCTACTCCCAGAGTTTTAGCAGCTTTTCCTTCTCACTTGTTTGCTGTGCCACTGTCACTGTACACATCAGTACTCTGGGTTCTGCTTTTCCCTCTCTCCATCATTTCAGCCTCCCTGTGGGCTAGAAAAATAATGTAAAAAATATCAATATAACCTTGCTCTCTCCTCTACTGTTTGCTACTAGCTTAGGCAGACATTTGCTCTCACCTGTAGTTGCATCCTTATGCCTTTTTGTATTTAAAAACTGACATACACCCTATGTAACTTTGTAAATCAGCACTACCTGCTTTGTGTAAAAATTAGGCAATTGCCTGTGAAGAAAGTCTCTTCAGAAACAGGCAGCAACTATTTCAGGATATCTGGGGAATAGTATGGACACGGCCCTCTTTGGAACTGATTACAGCCAATTTTCAAACTCTTGTCGGCATCACATAACAAACACAAGACTTTAATAAGGTGTGTGTGCTGGGACAAATGTTGTGGAAGGTGAGTCACAGAATGGCATGTCTATTTCAACTGGGGATCTGCCCAAGCCAGCTGTTCAAAAAAATTAGAAAATAAGAAGAGAAATACCAGCTAAGTGGATGTTGAAAAATATTAATGAGAAATGTTATGATATAGTCTATAATATTTTCTACAGTGCACATGAAGGCTCTGGTCATCCCTGGTACAAGCCTACTGTAGGTGTCCTGGAACAAAAGACCCCACAAGTTAAGACTAGTTTCACAGCTTTTCCTGAACCAACGGTAGGAAAACACATAGATCAAGGGATTGCAGGCAGAACTGAAGTAAGCAAACCAAATTAGGTCAAACAGAACTGGGGTGGGTAATGAAATCCAGAAGACTGTTTACCATGGTGTCAATAGTAAAGGGCAACCAGCACAGGAGGTAGACTCCTACAGTTACCCCCAGAGTCCTTGCTGCTTTGGATGCTCTCCTACGTGTAGCTGAGACCTGATACTCATACTCATGTTGTTTATCGGCCTGGCTTGCTTGTTAGCCACAGTAAATATTTTTACGGACAGAACTACCATTACGAGGCAAGGGAAGAAGAATACTGGGAAGTTCAACCACCCCCAGATCTTGTTGAACAGCAGCTGACAGCTACCAACACAAGGCAAGTCTCGCAAAAAACGGCCCAGTCCTTCTGCAGTTGCTTTAGTGTAGAGGAAGACAGAGGTATGTATATGTATATAAGCCTCATACACTGCCCTCCCCACCCCGGTGTAAATGCAGGACACTCTTATGGTGAACTTGGTGGGGTAGAGCAAAGGGTCACAGATGGCACAGTGCCGATCAATGGAGATGAAACACAGGTGAAGTAAGGAGGTCAAGCAGAAGAGTGTGTCCAGAAAGGTGTGCGGCCTACAGAAGTCATCTCCAAAATACCAGCAGATATAATACTCTAAGCCCCAGGAGGAGGTCAGCAAGGGCGAGGGAGAGGAGCAGGCAGTTGGTGGGCTTGTGCAGGGCTTTGAAATGGGAAACGACATGATGACAAGCAGCTTCCCCAGCACCGTGATCAGTGTGCCCAAGGCACAAGCCAGATAAATGGCCAGCTGGACCCCAAAGGGGTGTAAGGTCCTGTAGCAGGAGCCGTTCGCCTCGTAGCACAAGAAGACAAGCATCCCCTTCTCGGCACTGGGAACCCGGGCTGAGCTCACACCAAGCCTGCCCAGGTCCCACTGCGTACCCCGGCTCTGCCACAAGCCTGGAAAAGGATTCGCCTTCCAGCAGAGGTGCCAAATCACTAACCTGAAAAAAAGGTAACAAAAAGCCAGGTTAGAGGGAGAGATGTCTTTTAATCAAGTACTTTTATTAAAGCCATCGCATAGTTTCCGTATTTCAAGAGAAAAAAAGAGCCTGATTTATCTGTTTTATATCTCTATTGAAATAAAACAGCTCTAGATCAGTGTATTCAATTTTTGTGGCATCACTTTTTATATTTTTTTGTTTTCTTTCAGCCAATACCGCAAATAGTTCAGGAAATGCAGCAAGTCCAGAGGTGTGTGGGCAAGCAGTCAACAAAAAGAAGGTCTGCCTTAGAAGGCAAACCAGAGCTGAGTAAGAGGCATTGCAAGCCAAAGCTCCCTAAGGGATTTGAAAGCTGACTTTGGTATAATGGTACACTGGTTCCTGTGAATTTCCCTGGAAATGAAGTTCCAATTTAGTTACGATTCTTTTTATTATGTAGAAGCTGTGAAGTGATTATTCTGAAACAAGTAATATCTGATTGCAAAGGAAAACCCCTCAGGGCAAGTTGCTCATTTTATAGTGTTCTGGCTATGGGGATATATATGGATATCCATTGTGTTGATGACAAAAGTATTCAGCAAGGCAGACAGAAATATTGTTATATGCCCTAAAGATTGGTCCTGCTTTTTACTTATGAAATTGCTATTTAAGTTTTAAGTTACTTAGTTTTTAATTTGAACTGTAAGAAATATACAATATTAATGGATTATAGTGCATTATTCCAGCAGTCTTTTTAATAAATCAGATAACTGAAAGGTATGATTTTTAACAGTGGGACAATTACAATTAAATACATGACATTCTTCTATATGTGTTTTTGTTCTTGAAATGACTGGTATAATAGCTGGAAATTATTCCCACCTTTCCCATCCTTCCCAGCAGCAACAAAACATAATAACAAATGTCTCTTAATTTTATTTCCATAAACTTTTAAATCAGGAATACTTATGGTAAAATATCTCTTTTCGTAGAGTGGGAGCTGTACTGCAATGCACTGAAATCCTTTTCTAAGTACATGCCTACTGCCTGAGTGGAAAGCGTGAGATGTTATATAAACCAGATGGAGAGAGAGTCCCTATAGGTGACTAATATACCCTAGGGGCATAGAGAGACTGTTGTGTATTTGGCAAAAATTGCCATTTTCTAAGAAGAAGTTTAAATGCACACTTGCTCAGCTGCTGTTGAATCAAAATTGCTGGGTATAGTCTAAAGCTGAACTTTTGTTGAATGTACTATGCAGCCTAGTAATCCACTGGAAAACACAAAAACCCCAGAAGGATAAGTGTGCTGATATGGTTCGATCTGCAGTGAAGACATGCATAGCCAATATCTTTTTTCATTGAAACTGCTGCATATAACCTCTAAGATCTAAATTCCTCTAAGTAACCTCTGAGTTCCTTAAAATAGAACAAGACAGTTTCAAAGGATTACGGACTTTCTAAGAGGGCCATCATCAGTGCCCCTGTGCCATGAAATTTTTCCTCACAGCTTCCAGGAGAGTCAGTCTGGGATCCCTAAAAAGAATATAATAGTATGAGAATGCTGTGGGCTTACTAAGTTGACCTATATTGAGCTAGTGAACCTAAACCTCAAATCTTCCGTCACATGTATTACAGCTGTATAGCCCATAGTGCAGCCTTTTGTTCTCCCTTGTAGTAGTAAGCATTTACCATCTCTGAAGAAGTCAGGGTCTCATATATGAGTGTTTTATCATTACTGCAGAGTGGCGGAAATGTTTGTAGAGTAAATACTCACCCAGTCCAGCTTAAAATTCTGCCAGGTGTAGTGCACTCCACCTCCATTCAGACAGGGGGTCTCCATAGGGTGCGGTATGTATTTTTTCTTAATATTTTTTACACAAATAGCATCATTTGGCCTTCAGTTTTGTAACTATGGAAAATCCTTGTCCATAGCACTCACAAGAAATTGTTCCACCTGCTGTATCCCAGTTTTGTGTAACTTTTGCTTTTATGTTTTCCTGCTCTTGGTTACACTGGCCTGTGTTCTGTCCATTCAAGTGCTCATGTAGGACACACGTATATGAGCAGTTTTAGAAACAGTACCTCTGTAAGTTAACTGTGCCACCTTAAACTGTTAAAAGTGGAAGTGAAGATGGAGACAGAAGAGCTCTCTGCCATTGACCCCATCTGTAGCATCTTTGTCCAAATTAGTCAGCTGAAGGATTACAACCAATGAGACTGTGGATTAGAGAAGGAGTAAAAAATTATATTTTAGTTCAGGAATTTAATAAAAAGAATTAATAAATTCAAATATTTTATCTGTTATCTTTGAAATTGAAAAATCATATATTTGTTTCAGTCTAGGATTGTCTTAACCCCATTTTTCTTTCAGTTTATTGATCTTGTTATCCTTTTATTGTCTCCTTTTTTTCCATTTATGTCAAATTTGAAATTATTAATATCATAATAAAGTGAAAAATCCCAATACTTCATCATCTTCAAAACATTCCCTCTCATCATTTTTTTCTGTCTAAACTTTTTTCTGAATGTGAACCCAAAGAGCAGTTTTTAGTGAACTTAGTGTTTAGTGATGCAGCAGAGAAGTTGTAAAAGGTATGACAGAAAAAAGTCAAAATACAATACAAAAAGTTGAATGTGACATACTCTGGTTCAAGAGTTCTCTGCAGAAGAATTCATTAATAACAGGTATTAAAGGTAATCCCAAGTCTGCAAAAGAGGGCTGCAGGTACAACCAATATAGCCCTTCCCCAGAGTTCCTGATTCCCTTTGCTGTTGTTTGCACTGAGCAAAACACATGTCAACTGGGAATAATCTGACCAAAACAAGCAATATGTCAATAGGGCCTGTTAATTCACATTTCAGAAGAAAAATTAGAAACTTAAGATATTTTAAGCTGGTAAAAAAGGAAAGGAGAGGGAGAAGTAAGGTGGTGTACTGCACAGCACTGGCAGAACAAAATGAACAAAGTATTAATACTGAAATACAAGCCACCAAGTAGTCCAGCCTGTGAAAAGCATCAAATGGCCTTCAACCACCTGGATGTGGCTCACGCAAAGCTGCCTTTTTATACTGGGCAGTTTTTTAGTGGCACAAAGTGGACAGAGGTGACCGAACTCCCCTGGGCAAGGAACAGGAGTGCACATGGCAGCTTAAAACAGACATCCCTATCACTCGTCTTCTGCTGATTCAAGGCACCTGCACAACACTGACCTGCAGCCAGACCGCTGATCCCAGACTGGGCAGATATCACTCCCTCCCTGCAATTTCCACCAAAGGAAGCAGAAATGGCCAATGTAATTGCCCACAATTTCTTGCCCAGCTGGTGTGGGGCCTGCGAGACTAGAGGGGATGTTCTGGTCCAGGGCTGTTCCATGGGCATCAAACACCACTTTCAAATCCTGTAGAATCACATTTTCTTCCTGTCTGACCTGGCAATGTTGCACTGCTGGTAGCATTACTTGAATGAGATACTGATTTCTGCTAAATTGTCACAACGAGGAATAAAAATCACTTTTTTGCCCAGAATAACATTAGAAAAGCCAGATGCACTGGAATGTCCTGCATCACCAAACAGGAGCACACTCCTTTTGTACTCGGACAACAGAGCAGCTGCGTGGCAGCACCTGACCGTCACTTTGGCGTCCTGACTGTGGGGAAAGGGCACAGTGCAGTAACCACCGGGAAGACAGAACTGAAGCTTTGCCCATGAAACCTTTGACAAATATGATGGGGGCTTTTTATTTATATTTGATTTACTCCCTTTTAAAAAATCTAACTTTTAATTCCTCTGAGGGAATGTACCCACCTTCATAGATGACTGTTTTGATGGTAACTTATTTTCATTAGCAGTGCAGTGCAGCACATGGAGAGAAAGGCAGTTGTTCAGAGGCTAGACCATCATACCCTAAATCAACCCACGTTTAAGATATTTTTCAGCTACAGAATGAAAAATTGTGTTTATAAAAGCAGGCTGAGGTTGATTTATCAGCACTTGTAAGACTGTGTCTGGAGTCCTATGAGTAGATAAAGATGACGGAGTGTTTTCAGCTGGAAAAAGTGTTTCGGCTCCATTCTGCTCCCCTGGTTCGTTTGGAAAGTTTGACTAATAGATCGGGACGACTAGGGTGCTAATTTTCAGACAATGATATCTAAATAATTACCTCATGCGGCTTAAGCATGAGAGTTCACGCTGGCCCTTGGACACAATGGTTCTTCAGTGTTGTGGCCACGTTGCTTGTGTCTCTGTGCACACGGCAGAGAGTCTGGATGATGTATCCTGTATATTTTGTCAGTGTGCTGGTCCTTTCCTAGCACCCGGACACAACATTTCTTCAGATGTTGTATTACCTTGCTGAATCTAAGTCCACCCATAGGTTACCTGTTATTGTATTTGACAGTATATGCACATACTGTAAAGATAAAAGAACCATATAAATATTTGCAAAGTTTTCTGAAAGTAATTCCAGGAGTTGCTAATTCATTTATAAAGAATGTGACTAGTTAACCAAGTTTTTACAGGAAGGCAGTAGAGTACACTGAAAATAGCACTCTGAATATTGCACCTGCAATGACCGTTTTCAAAGGTTTTTTGTAACAGATGATAAACCCTAAGTGATGGGGCTGCAGGCAGAGCTGAAATAATCCAGCCAGCAGGTGGCATTGCACAAGCCCTTAAGTGCCGAGAAGTTAATAAAAAGATCAACTGTTAGGAGAAAGGCAGCCAAAACCAACAACAAACCCAACCAACCAACCTCCCCACCCCCCTGCCCCTGCCAAATTCCCATGATTATGCATGGTGTTTCCATTACTTTGTTCTGGTTTTGAAGGAATTCTGATTCTTGTGACACAGAATTTTGTTAAGTTTTCTGCAGTGTTTTCTTGCTACAGAAACTATGTAGACTTGCATCTCTACCATCACTGTGCCTGGAGAAGAGGAAGCAAAGGGAGAAGCCAGCACTTCTCAGCATTTGTTAAGTATGAGAGAAACACAGAAACTGCTGCAGGAAATAGGTGCCATATATTCTCCAATACTGTCAGTATTTAACCGTGAGAAAACCATGCTAAAGGCAAACAAGAATAAAATTGACGTGCTATCTAAGAAAATTACTTCTATCATAGGGATGGTCCTTTTGGTGATGTAATGCTGTATTGGGTCTGGCACAAATGCAATGGGTCAAAGATGGTATAATTACAGTCGAGAGAGAGAAATCAGACAGAACAGTGAGGTGCTGCACACAACTGTCATCACAAGATGTGTCAAGTTTGCAGGAGAGATCCCCAAGGTACCAGCACGATTTGATGGAGCTGGCTGCACTGTGGGGCATAACATGACACTGAGAAAAAGTCAGTTTTGACTATGGAGCAGACCAGAAATTTGGTGGGAGAGCAGGTTGCTGGAGATGATGGATGGAAGCAGTCACAGATATATTTCCCTCTGTTTTGGACAGGACGGTTCCACCTGTGTACGTGTGCACAGCACAGGGGCAAAGCCCATGTCTTGCATTTCTAGGCCCTAAATTGTTAACTGTATCTTGCATTTCTAACCCTAAAATCTTAACAAAGTCAAAGCAATACTACACCAGCTGTGAGCCCCAGAGGCTAGATGAAGTCATGATTTGGCAGCATGAAGTATTCGCCAAAGTATTGCAACACAACCAATCCTGGGGCAGAAAACTAGGTGACACAAAATTGCTTAAACATTGAAGAACAAGATCTGTAGGGGAAAGGGTTTTTTTGGGAAAAAGACATTCTTGAGCACGCAGTCCTTTCTTTTGGTCAAATCTTGCCTCTCCTGATTTATTTAAAACATATCTTTATATCTTCAGAAGCATCTTTAAACCATCATGATTACAGTGTCAGGTCTAGAGACAAATGCGACTGTCGCAAGTGCTGTGACTGTCACTTCTGTCCCTCGGCATCTGAACTGAAGGATGAGGGGACAAAATCTGGCGCTTAGCTCCACTGATGTCAGGTACCTGCAGCATCAGTGTACTTTGGCCATGCGCAGGCTCTGAAATTAAAGTGTCTGAGGGCAGGATCCCAAGCGCAGGATGGAGCTCAGGTGTCGCTAGCTGACGGGTATGAAAATGCTGATGGGGGCCGGTGGCACAGGCCAGCTGCCCCCCTCCCGGCTGGCCTCGCCTGCGAGCTGCTGCAGCTGCAGCTTCTGCTTGCAGGCAGGGAGCGAGAGAAGGCTGCTCCCGGTCAGAGTCAAGCAAATATTTGCCTGTTTTCCCCTCCCCTCCTGCCTCAGAAGGCTCCCTTCCCCTGCCTTTCCATCTTGCTCCGGTCTACACCCCAGATCAATTTTTTTGGTGTGTTTAAATATCCCTATTAAAATCCAAGGCTCCTTTGAGTGCTTTTTTCCTCCATCCTGCATTTTGGTGGAAATGTGTGAGTAAAAACATGAGTGAAAGCACTCCTCCTTTCTTACAAGAGAAACTGGAATGTTCTTGTTTATATATTGTTAAAAAGGTTCATGGCCGTCTCTTGAGAAACTGCACATCCTTTTGTATGTGGGTTTTCTCTGTAATGCTTCATTGATGCTTCGTTGCTGCTGTAGCCACGAAGACTGACTCGCAGCTGATCCAGTGGGAAGATGATTTCATTAGGTTATATAAATGGAAGAATAAATAAATCAGTTTAATATATTACAGTTACAGCTGTATAGGCCCTTTTGTCAGGAGTTTCTTGGAACAGTTACTTTCATTTACTTAATTTTCACTTAATCCGATTAAAATGTTGTGGGGTTTTTTTGTTAAAAAAACATTATAACTGAAAATTGGATGCTGACTATTGAGCATTAATTTACCTGAACTTATCTGGCTTCTTTGGCGTATT